TCAAAATTAGAGAGAAAGTTAAGAGTCGTCGTAGGATGTTAAATAGAATGAAAATGTTGTAAAGAAACTGATAAACATTTACCACTAACCGCACGAATTATTTAGTTCTATGACTACATAAAATTTTTTAGTATAATAGTCTACTGTTTTAATTAAATACAAAAGAGTATTCATGTGTTACGTTGAATACTAGAGTTAGTGTGTGTGTGTGTTTTGTATAAGAAACGTCAATTTATTTTATGACTCTAATAGGTATTTGTGAATTATGTTAAAAATCAGATCTATAAAATACGGATTTTAATAATTTGCAAAGTGGTCATAAAATAAATTCGAGTCTTTAATAAGATGAATAATAATATACTGATATTTATCTTACACAATTGTTACTATGTATAACTTTAAATATAACCACCTGCGCAGACATGAATACTTAGCATACGCTTTATGAAAAACACGATATTAAGGTATAAAACTGTAAAATGGAAAGGAAAGAAGACAATACTCTGTATCAAACAGTGTTATGTATGTACTACCATGATCAAAAAATAACCAAAATTTTTAATTTAAACCTCGCGGGCTTATCGGTTTAGAATTCCGTTGTTTGTGTCACGTTAGCAGCACTGTTACGGACACCCATGCAGAGATGCCAGATTCTGAACACTTGGTAGCATGCGGTAGCATGGAGGGGATGCGCACACAATCTCAGATCGTGTACGTGTGCGCTCGAGCTTCGGGCGCGATCGCACACGTACACGATCTGAGATTGTGTGCGCATCCCCTCCATGCTACCGCTGCTACCGCATGCTACCAAGTGTTCAGAATCTGGCATCTCTGCACCCATGCCAAGCTTCTGCTTATCAGCTGTTCATTTACCTTTATGACAGTGATTTCTTTACATAAAGTTTTTACGTCGCGACGATTTTTACAATTGATTCAAAACTTGAACAACGTTCTTGCATTAAATTTTGCTATAAAAATGAAATTAAATGTTACAAAAGTGTTATGGTGACGATACTCTATCGAAAACACAGGTGTACCAGTGGTATGAACGCTTTAAAAGTAATCGTGAGGCTGTTGAGGACGATGCTCGTCCTGGGAGGCCATCGAAAACTGATGAAAACGTCGATGAAATCCGACAATTGTTGATCGAAAATCGCAAATTGACGATAAGGCAGATAGCTGAGACCACCAACATATTATTCGGATCCGTTCAGAGCATTTTGCGTGAGGATTTGGGTCTGAGGCGAGTCACTGCGAGATTGGTGCCAAAAGAAGTGAATTTCGTGCAATAATTCTCGTGAATTTCTCGTCAAAAACAACACCAATACCATTCAACAACCGCCCAATTCACCTGATCTGGCACCATGTGACTTCTTTCTATTCGATCGACTCAAAAAACCACTACGAGAAACTCGTTTTGAGAGTGTGGAGGCAATAAAGCTAAAATCGCTGCAGGCACTAATGGCTATACCAAAAACCGACTTCCAGAAAAGCTTCGAGGGGTGGATCAAACGCTGGCACAAGTGCATCGCAGCCGACGGGGACTACTTTGAAGGGGACAACTTGAATTTTGAAGAATAAACATGTACTTTTCTTTTTATGAATAAATTCCGGATATTTTTTGATCATGGTAGTATATCGAGTTATCCCGAGAAAAAATAGAAAATCATGTGATCATATAAGATTATATGTGGATCGAATGCACTTTTGTATAATCGTGTAAACTTTTATATAAGTCGAATATGATTTTATATAAGTTGGATATGATTTTATGTGATAGTGTGATGAAAAATGAGATCTGAAGTCTGGCGCGATCTGATTTTATATAGTCATATATAAATATAAAAAATCATATACTATCGTACATAATTTTATATATTTATATACCAGCGTGCTCGTGCAGTTAGTGTGCAACGTCGTTTCGCGTAAACTTGGCGCGAGGCACTACAGTGCCTCTTGATGATTATATAAATGATATCAGATTGCGTCAAATTTCGGATCTGATTTTACACAATCACATATAATCATATTTAACTTATGTAAAATCATATTTGACTTATATAAATATTTACGATCATACAAAATTACATTTGATCCACATATAATTCTCTATGATCACATGATTTTCCAATTTTTTTCGGGATGTTACTTAGTCAAACAATTAGTATTTTTTTTATGTATTTAAAGAACTGTAAATGATAATTTAGTTTTAATTTAATGTAATAATTTATTTTTTTCTTTTTATTAATTGATATGTGTGTTTCCAAAGAAATATTATTTACATATTTACTTATAATAAAAATTGTATTTGCAAACCAAAGTTTGTTTGTTAGTTTTTAAAAATGTCGTACTTTGTAGGAATACGCAATATTTTCAAGTAAAGCTATAAGAAAGATTTGTATGCAATATATTTTTTTTCCGACTAACCAAACTATTTGCAATAACATTTTAAATAATAGAGATTTGCGATAAAAGAGTAAATACTACTCAATGTATGCTTTTGCATCTAAGGCCATTGCACGTGACACAATTTTAGTCGGAATCGTAAAATTTGAAGAAGAATTGCTTACAATCTTACTCGTGAAAAATTGAATTAGATCTAAATTGTTTAGATTAAATCCAAATTAAATCCAACTAAATATAACTTACATCTAAATAGATACAAAGTACATCTAAATAGATATAAATTAGATTTATATAAATATAACTAAATGTATGTAAATTTACACTTTTATTTATTAGTAGATCTACTTTAAATTTACTTAGATCTACTATAGATATACGGACAAGTAGATTATTTCAAATCTGTATAGATTTGCTTAAATCTAAATAAATCGACACAGAATATGTATCGTAAAAATACAGACATTGTAGATTAATGACATAAACATGCATCCATATGCTGAGGTATATATCAAGAGCTTTTTCAATTGTTATATAAAAAAATATACGCATACCGATCACATACATTTATGATTGCCATTTATATATTAAAATAAGCAAAAAGTGTTTACTTTTTGTATAATAACTTCTTGTTATACTTGCGGCTTAATTTGCACTTAAATTTTTTGTTTAAAATACTTCATATATTTATAGATACAAACTATAGAAAAAATGGAACCTCATGTAATCATATAGAATTATATGTGGATCAGATGCAATTTTGTATGATTGTATACACTTCTATATAATTCGAATATGATTTTATATAAGTTGGATATGATTTTGTGTGATCGTGAAAAATCAGATTCAAAATTTGGCTTGATCTGATTTTATATGATCGTTTATAAATAGAGAAAATCGTGTATGATCATATAAAATTAGATCCAAAATTTTGGGCTATTTGATCTTTTACATATAATCGTCTATGATCATAATTTCTATGTTTTCTCAGAAAGTCATAATTTTATTCTAATTTACATAGCTTTTAGTATTGATGTTACACATCCAAGTAATTTCAGCAATATAAAAGTCGGATCTATCTGGTGAAGAATATTCTTACGAGCACGTACATTTTACTCTTTTGTTCCATTGACACTTGTCGAATCTAAAGTAAATAATAATTAGTGTATATTGCGCGCCGATGCGTAATCAACAAGTTATGAAGACCGAACGAGCCCGTAGACGTGAGCATGCACGAGTCGTCCAAAAGGACACAATAATCAACATTGCTTTTACAGTGAAACCGAAAGTCAATCGCGATCGACCAATCAGAAATAGTCACACATGTTTTATTTAACCATAGAGTAGTTAGGCCTGGTTTATGCGAGCAATAACTGTTAACTTATGCCGGAACTGATAGAGTTTAACTATAGGATTTCAATACTTATATTTATACGGATTCGGCAATTTTTTGTATTAACAGAAGCATTGAAATCCTATAGTTAAACTCTATCAGTTCCGGCATAAGTTAACAGTTATTATCCGCATAAACCAGGCTTTAGACATAAAAGGCCATTACTTTTGACTTGTTTGCTCGAGTGGTTATAAAGGTTCGAGTCTTGTATGGATATAATTTTTGTATTATTTTATTTATGTTTTTAAAGAGAAACAACAGTTGGTTACACTAAAGCATAAACAACTGTTGTTATTTAAAGATAGCTTAATTTATAGAAAATTTACGTTAAAAAATATGTTAAATTAAATTCTATAGAAGTATAAAGTAAATTAAATTATAAAAAATCTATGAATTGTTAGTGTTAATTGTTAGCGCTGCCAAGTCTCTCAACAAGTCTATACCTGCTACATGCATGCTATCACCTCTCACTATCCCTCTCTCTCAACTCACTCTCAGTCAGACGTCTATCTTCGTTGCTCTCGGCCACTTTCTCGGTCTGTCGCGGCCACCAATCAACTCACTGCTAGAAAAGAAGAGAACGACTCCACGACTATTTCTGTCTCTTTTAACGAAGCTTCAGTTTCCCTTACTCAAATGTACCGTTTAGTATACAAGGTGTCCGACAATTACTTTAACATCTCTTGTAGGCAGGTAGAAGGAGGAAAACTGAGTCGAAAAGTCCTGAACCATTTTTTTCTATTACATATACTAAAAGAGTAATTATTGAATAAATCAAGCCAATCAGCGCCGACCTTTAGCTGGGCTCACGTCAGTGAGCCACGCGAGCGCTCACGCACACCATACGTGTGGTTCACTGACGTGCGTTCGGCTAAAGGTCGGCGCTGATTGGCTTGATGTATTCAATAATTACTCTTTTAGTATATGTAATAGAAACAAATGGTTCAGGACTTTTCGACTTACTTTTACTTCTATCTGCCTACGAAAAATGTTAAAGTGATTGTCGGACACCTTGTATAAGTCTATGCTTTATTTCTACACATACGTTTACATCAAGTAAATTCCACTTGCCGTTTGCAACTCTCATGAAAACAATTTATCCTTATTTCTCATCGAAAAGTAAACAAAGATAGATAACGCTCACGAGCGTTGCGAACGGCAGGTAGAACTTACCCATCGTGGTGTGTATTCATTATTTCACAGAAAGGACTGCTCTTTAGTTACCCAAAAATTCTCGAAGAGGCAAGAACGCACAGATACTATCACGAGATAAGCTTTCGATCTTGTTTGATTACCAGTTGGCAATTTTTTTGCAAGATTTATACTTCAATGCATTGAATATCACTATACAGAAAATGGTAAGTCATTAAACTATTTTTTGTTGAATAAAAATTGCTTCTTATAGTTTACAGAATACTATAAATTTTGTATTTAACCAAACACAAAACAGAACATAGAAAATGAAATAACATAGACCTATTATCTCAACAAAGCATATTATACTGTTAATGATTAAGTGGGTGAAAAAGCTTAAAGGTAAATGTAATAGATAAAATACGAGAAACATAGAGAAACAGAGAAAAAAAATCTTTAAACCTGCAGTCTACAGGTGATAGTAGATAAAAGAAAAATTTGTGTTTATTAATTAACGATAAGACCTTTTTGATCAATTTTATTTTTGCAATCATCATCAGCCAATTCTATAATGTGCAAAGTAGGAAATATATAAGTTTGTTTAGAATCTACAAACGTTTCAAAGAAACATGAAAAAAATACGCATATAAATATATAAAAACTATTAAAACATAAACAAAATGAAGCAAAGCTAAGTTTCCAAAGTTAAAATAGAAGTAATCACAAAATATATGATAACAATTATGGAAATGTGTAAGATACATTACAATCTCAAAAGACACAGAGTACATGTCAACAGCCATGTTAAGAAAAGTCACACAAACAACACAAACATGAGTATGCGAAAACATACAAATGAAAGCTTTCTTTCACCAATCATTACCGATGGACTACAGACTTCGAAATCGTTACTTTTTCTATATAGTTAATGTACATTAAAATTAGGTATATAATTAAATAATTTTGTATATCTTTAGCATATAATAAGTGGTATATATTGTTACAATGCAGTATCAATTTTTCTTCAGTGTCGTAATATTCAACTTATCTCATTTAAAATGGATTATAAAAAAATTAAACAGTTTTCTCGTAAGTGACTTTATTAGGTGATTATGGAATTTGTTGTAACCATAATCTGTACTTCTGTCTTTTTTAATTATGTATGTCGGATAAAACATACAACAATAACAAATAATGTCGTGTGTGCGATAAAAATAAAGACGCTGTAGAATATTTTTTGAGAAACACATACCTCTATGCTTAATATTTTATGAACTTTAAAAAGTGTTAGTGAAAACTATTCTCAAAAAGGAAGATACAATTACATACAATTATATTTGACATTTATGTATTTAAAACAGCAATTAATAATTCCTTTTTATATAATACATTTTGTGTTATACTTGTGATTTTAATAACATGTGTACTTCTTGTTTAAAATACCTTTATAAGATAATTGTACAAATTTATTTTATAGATACTAACTACACAGATGCTTACAGTTCTCGGAACTATATGCTTCTTATGTGTCAATGGAATTACTTCTTTTGCTGATGTACATTTTTCTCCGCACTGCATAGAACCGATGAAATATAGTACGAATATTTCTGCGGAAGTACAAAAAAATTCTCTTATTGTTGATTCTCTTGTTAAACTGCACGTTAAGTGTCCACTGCAAAACATAAAATTGTATTTCGGACGTTACTGCGAACAACCAAAAATTAACATCATAACTAATGTTTCTTCTACTTTTCCAACTTTATCTTGGGAAACAAAAGTTTTGCCATTTTTTTCGGACGATCGATTCAAAACCTTGAACATCAGCTTCATTAACCATAATAGAGAACACTTTAGAATACAACAACAAATAGTAAATAAACGTAGATTGTGGATATCTGCAAAATATAATTGCAGTTTAGATAAAGTTATGAGAATTTATCCATTTATTGATGAAACTAAAATAGAAAAGTAAGTGCATAAAATACTAATACAGAAATTATTTCTTCTTTTGTACTGTTACAATAGGAGGTATAAAGATTTTAAAGAACAAATTACTAAGAACAACGTTTTACATTCTATAGAAATTTGATATTACCGCGTATTCCCGCTGAATGGATATTTCCATGTTGGGAAAATCTCGCAAGTAAGGCCACATTTACTATTCGAATCAAGCATATCAGTAGTGAAACAGCTCTTTCAAATATACGTGATAAACTAGTGGAAAACTCTCAAGTTTATACATATACTTTATTCCGTACACCTTTAATATCCACTCGTGCCGTAGCAACAGTAGTCGTACCTTCTGAATGTACCAACTTTACTTTCGAATCAGATACACTTATCATACACAGCAGATTACAAGTGGAAAACGACATTTCATACGCACGACGTCTTATACGTCATATTACGAATTTTATTAAACTCAAGAGAAGAGATGTTACACCAATTTCACACGTGCAGTATATAGCACTTTCAACAAACTACAGCTACGAAACTATAGTAACTAGTGGACTTGTCCTTTTCAGGTAAGATATATTACTCAAAAAATTAGCTTACAATAAATATATCCACATGCTGCGAACGACAGAAGTGCATTCAAGACACTACTATTTTTAGAGACGCTGATCTTGCATACAATGAAGAAATTGATTCGTTTAGAAGAAAAATAGAAGTAACATGTTTGGTTGCACGCAGTGTGATACAAGAAGCGTTCAGTAATTGGGTAATTACAATTAAACAGTCTGATTCTTGGTTCATCGAAGGATTTTTGACATTTTACGGAGTTTATGTAGTCGATCAGGTAATACTTGCGTTTGTAAATCTGTAGCTTTTACATCCCGAGAAAAAAGAAAAAATCATGTAATCACATGTAGGATTATATGTAAATTGGATGTAATTGTGTATGATCGTATAATCTTTTATCTAAGTCAAATATGATTTTACATAAGTTGGATATGATTTTATGTAATCGTGTAAAATCAGATCCAAAATTTGGCGAAATTTGATTTTTTATGATCATATAAATACAAACAATTATGTATGATAGTATATGATTTCTTATATTTATATATGATCATGTAAAATCAGATCGTGCCAAACTTCGGATCTCATTTTACACGATTACATAAAATCATATCCACCTTAGGTAAAATCATATTTGGCTTATATAAAAGTTCACACGATCACACAAGATTGTATCCGATTCACATATATTTTTATATAATTACATACTTTTCACATAGATATTTAATGCAAACCAAGAAAGAAAAATAATAGTATGTATTATGTAGTGATTTCAGACATTTTGGTGGAAGATGTTATTGTCACATTGCTTTTTTAATGTTTTTTTAATGTTTATATTATACTCAAAACTTCTTGACTATACTAGACGAATTTGTATACTTGATACCAAAATTTTAGTAATACAACTTTGTATTACTAAGTTCACCTTAGAAGAAATAACGAAGCTAAAATATACATAGGCGTAATCATATAAACTTTTGGTAGATTTACAGTGAGACTTTCTTGATGTCGATTGTGGTTCAGACACGGCGAATGGTGTTTGAATATACACAGGCATTTATTGATTATTATTATTTAATAGAAAATAATCCATTTCTCAAAAACGAAACTTTTGATAAAATGTGGAAAGAGAGAGGTAAGAAACATTGTCATTTAAACCTCAAATACAATTATCCAGGTATCATTGTATGCATTTAAAATCATTAATAAAACTACATCTTGTGATTATAATTTGATAATTTTCACACATCGTATTTATGTTATAGGATTTAATATTTTCTATATGATGAATAATTTATTCAGTATCAAAAATGTTCTGCACGACTTTATTTTTGAGAAAGCGATAAATGTGTATAACACGTGAGTATTAGAGTTATTATAAATTGATCATTAAAATAAAAAATTGTTTGTGGATTTAAGCATGATTTTCGACGTAACGTGAAGACTTCTTTAAATATTCAGTACGTTTAAAACTACTAAAATCAATGTACTTTTTGGTTTGTTATTTGTTGTTATCAATAGTAGTACATCAAAGCAGACATATAAAAAACATTTTAGTCTTGATAATATATGGATCAAAATAATGCTTGTGCCAACCATATATAACAACATGTATTTCAAGAATATACATATAAAACATGTGATAACTTCATGGATAACACAATATGGTTATCCTGTAGTACGAGTAAAACGGGACAATAATACACAACTTGTAGAAATTATGATTCAAGATTGTGTTACGGTTAAACAAAAGAACATGTGTGCATACAAGTGGTGGATACCTATAACCTTTGTAAAAATATCAAGGAAAACGTTTAGTACTACATATCTGTACCTAAAACCATACGGAAAAAGCAAATTTCTTGCGAATATGAAAGAAGATGATTTTATCATAATCACGGAGCCAAATGGTAATACAATATAAAGTATGACTGTAATGTTGTATTTAGTCTCTAAAGTATATTTGAAATTTTTAACATTGTAACATTTATGCTTTTTTTGCTTTATTTCGCTTGTTTTTCTTTTTCGTAATTTTTTGTAATTGTAATTTTTTTATCCAAACATTTATTTGTAGGATATCGCGTCAACTATGATCGTAAATCTTGGGAAAATATTGCTCTCTTCCTAAAAAGTGAAAAATCTGAGACTTGGGTTGCATTTAATTTAACTGACGTCACTTTAGCACAACTTCTTGATGATGCGTTTTATTTTTTAATACAAAATACAAAGTATACTGTACCTCGTGCTGCAAAAAGTGAAACTTTAGACATATTTTTCAATCTTGCAAGCAATGTAGTTCGCGTAAAGAATTCGTACATAGTGTGGCATTCCATATTTACAACTCTTCAATACATATCAAAGAGTTTTCCATTACCGGAAAACGCAAAGATCAAGGTACATATTTTTTCAGTGCACTACGAAAGAACAAAAGTAAAAAATTCTAATCAGCAAATAAATGAAAGAAACTTTCAGTGAACTAGTTTTATAATATACAGTTTATAAGTTACGTTTTCTTCTGCATTCGTCTTTGATCAACTGACAACAGAAAAAATACTATAAAATAATTTACAAAAGTACCTAGTAAAGTAACGTTACAAAACAATAATTAATATGCGATGATTCTTAAATAAATATTTTTTCAATTTACTAAGGATTTACAAATTAATCAAAATATATTAATACACGGTACACTTTTTCTATAGACTAAAGTCCTAGAAATATTATATAGTTTTTTTGTAACTACATCACATACAAATAATTTTGAAAATACTGTCAGTAATCAAGTATATTACGAAGTTGTAAAATGGACATGCACTCTTGGTGGCTTAAAGTGCAAAGATCATGTTACTGCTATATTACAGTGGCATTTAAAAAATCCTGTACATTACAGGTATGTTTTTATAATTCTTTCAAAGTGACGTCACTATAACGTTACTGTGTTTTTTATGCATCGCACATAGTATGTTAGAACTGTAAATTGAATGGTGATATTATAATATTGTAATGACAATAAACATTCGCAAATGAAGTATTCTTTAACTAAAATTCTATAAATTTATAGTAAATACATATTAGAAATCACATAAATTTGTAAATTATAAGTATATAATTATATAAAAATTTAATTGAATATGACGTCAAAAGACACCTTGCTTCTACGGTTCTAATAAACATAATTTAAAATGTAACATGAGTTGTAATACATCATTACGATATCAGAAAAAAAAACTAAAATCATCCGAGTGATACTTGTGTAAGAGTAGAATTATATATGTTCGTTAATATTTCCAGACTTTTGCCAAGTTGGCAGAAATGGATATACTGTCAAGGTTTACTTTTAGAAAATGGTACTTATACGTCTGATTTGTGGCAAAACATAGAGAAAATATATGTAACCCAGCAAACCTTAGGAGAAATGTTTGAATTGTCACCTTGTTCTGGGCATAATATTTTGCAATCTTTACGATTGGTTAATCTACAAAACAAAAGGACGTCTATTAATATTCTACTCAGTAGTATAGCAAAATATTCAAAAGATGTTACATTATTGAAAAGTATAATACACAAAATAAGACGTGTTGCAAGGTAAAGAATGTTCTGTATATAAAAGTGTTTATATTTATTCTGTACAAATAAATAATATAAAATATATATTATGTAGTCTGCATATTTATTTATCATTATTCACATGATATATATTGTTTTATTATCATGTGTAAGAATATGTTGTATGTACATAAAAATTTCATTCACTAAGTATCTATTATTTGTTCTTTTTTTGTAGACTATCTATCACAGACAATCTATTTGCATTGATCATTTTTATTATTAACAACACTTATTCAGAAGAAAATCTTGAAAAGGTATATGAACTTAAGATATATGAACTTAATTGTTTGTTGTTATTTGTAAATGTAAAACATAAATCATATAGGTATACATATGTATAAGCATGCGTGTGTATTAAAAGTATAATAATTCTTTATATACCTTTAATTGTGTTTAGCATATTAAAAAAATATATATAATGTATAAGAATTTTGCGTAATATCAGTTATCAAATTCAATGTTACTAACTTAAGGTTTTTCAGATTATAGACCTGTATTTTGAAGAACTGCCTAACATATCTAATGTGGAAAAGGTAAAAGATTTTTTTTTAATATAGAAATATAAATGTTTAAATAATTTTTCTTTGTGCATTGCTTTCTACTTGGGTAAATTAAAATTTATGTTTATCTTATATATATATACTGGATTTTTTGACTATATTTTTGTTTCTTTTACAAAAGTGTATTTTTTAACGTTCTCAGACGTATGCAAAAGTTTGATTTTAAATGTTATTGTAACTGTATTTTGTTTTTTGTAGGCAATATTTATCAAAATTAGAGAGAAAGTTAAGAGTCGTCGTAAGATGCTAAATAAATTGAAAATGTTTTAATGAAATTGATAAACACTTACCACTAACCGCACGAATTAGTTAGTTGTGACTACATAAAATTTATTAGTATAGGTATCCACTGTTTTAATTATTTACAAAAGAGTATTCATGTGTTACGTTGAAGACTACAGTTATTTTTTTGTATAAGAAACCTCAATGTATTTTATGACACTAATAGGTATTTATGAATTATGTTAAAATTCAGATCTATAAGATACGGAGTTTAATAATTTGCAAAGTGGTCATAAAATAAATTCGAGTTTTTAATAAGATGATTAATAATATATAAAATATATAAAATTTTGTATGTTGTTTATACATTGTAAAAGAGAGAATATAAGAGAATATAAGAGAGAATATAAGAGAGAATATTCTAAATCAATAAAAAGTTTCAAATATTGTATGACCACTGCACGTTTTATATAAAGCACTCATTGATGTAAAGAATGACTTCGCCTTGCGTGGAAATTTTAAACTATGTCGAATTATACATATAGATTTTGATTTGTGTGAAATGTCAAAAACTCATGTGGAATGTTTCGAAATAAAAAATATTTAATGTAAAAAAACTTGGCGCGGCTGCACCAAAAACTAAAGACAAATTGCAGACGCGCCAAGTTTTTTTACATTAAATATTTTTTATTTCGAAACATTCCACATGAGTTTTTGACATTTCACACAAATCGAAATCTATATGTATGATTTGACATAGTTTAAAATTTTCCACGCAAGGCTAAGTCATTTCTTACATCAATGAGTGTTTTATATAAAAAGTGCAGTGGTCATACAATATTTGAAACTTTTTATTGATGTAGAATATTTTTTATTTTACAGATTTTTATTTTACAGATTCAATTTTTATTGATGTAGAATATTTTCTATTTTGATTGTAATACTTTTTCTAGAGATACGAGGTGCGCATGTACTTGGCGCTTTTTTTTATCTTTTTTTGAAAAGGTATTTTGTTCGGATATCACACATTTTTGTAGAATATGGTTTTGACAAACACTGTTTTTACTGCATTATATATAACTTTTAATTGTTTTTATTTTAATTTTAACCCTCAACGGACGGACATGGGTCGGTTTCGTCTGGAGCAAAATTACTTTCTGAAAAAAGTAAGTTTTTTGTTGTCATATTTGCTAAAACTTATGAATTAAAACTTTTTTTTTCACTAAATTTAATGATGGTGTCTTAAATAAGACAGTTTAAAGAATATATACACATTATTTCAGATTTTTTTAGAAATATTTAATATTTTTAAAAAGCCCATAACGAAAACGACCCATGTTCGGCGAATTAAGGTACCGAAAAAAAACACGCCATCCGTTGAGGATTAATTATTCTTTTCATATATTCATATATATATATATATATCAAAATAAGAAAAACATCTCTTGAATAACAACACACGCATACTTTACACATTGAAGAAATTTTAACATTTATTAAATGTGTATTCTATTTTTCTTTTTCCACATAATCGAGAATAAAATTTTTCGCAAACATCATGCTCGCGGCTAAACAAAACTACGATTCCAATAAAATTACAGAACTTAGAGAAATACTATTACTTTGACAATGTAACGAATCTTAAATGTGTAGAACAAATAAATTACGGCCATCCTTGTTACGCATGAACATGTTTTCTCGATTGACGTCTAACAAGAAACATCTCGGCAGTCCAAATGCATTTTTACATATCACGTATTAAAATTTACTGTTAAAGCTTAACCTGTTGAAGCTTATTATTAAACCTTACACAAAGATCGATAAGTTATCACCATTAAGTCGCTACCACGCAACATCACAGTTAGTTGCAAAATTAATAACTTTTAAACTAAAAGAGATAAAGGAAAACAGTTTGCGTCATAATCCTTAGCGCAACAAACTGCAAAATACCAGCCTAGTTCGAACTTTCTAACTTTAGTTATTAACAATCAATTGTTTAAATAATAGAAATTATTAAATTTTTACCGTAAGGTATTTTGCAACTAACCAATAGGAACTGAGATATAAAAACCATTTTGCTCTAATTTTTACCGTTCTCGAAGTATTCAATTTGTTAACTTTCACTCTTTGTCATAAATCGCAGAGTAGCCGATTTAAGGTACCTGCAAAATTAGTTTCAAGCTATCTGTTCTGGTTCTCGAGATATCCGCGATTTGCGAAAAAGACTATGTATCGTTAAATGTAGAATAAATCAAATGTGTATATTTGTTATTCATAAACTTTATTGTAAAACCCCGCGTTTTCGGAAACTCTCCAATCACCGAATTAACATAGGATGGTATATCTGTTTTATATTTAGTATTTTTTATTTTTTATTTAACAAATTTAATAACAAGAGAGTACGCTCGATATTTTTTAATTTTTTTTATATTTGTATTATATATATATTATTGTATTATATTGTATTATTATAATAAAACACAAAAAAAGATTACGCATCGTTAAATATAGAATATTAAAATAAAGTAAAAAAAATATATATTTTTTTTTATTATATTGTATTATTATATATTATTATATTATATTCTTATAAAACACAAAAAATGTTTAATATTTTTTCTACCGCTATACTTAGCGCGAGACTATGGATGCGTTCCGAGTTACGCATATCACGTATTTCTCTATACTATATGTAACGTGTACTATAGATAAATGCGCGCATATGTGTAACTCGGAACGTAGTCTATATCTACACGAAAGTGTTGTCACCTGGCGGCGACAAGAGGCGAAGTACGCTCAAGCATCGTCCCAAGACGTGGACGAATTCGTAGAACCTAGTTTTTAGACATTTCGGACTTTGTATCGAGATATCTCCGTTGGAAAAGCACGGAAAAAAAACCGCGAACTAAGTTTTTTCGTGCCTCGATCTCAACTTTCGATTGAGTCTACTACGAACTCGATCGGTTTAGCCGTTGTTGAGATCGGAAAATCTCGAAAAGTCTCCTCTCAGCTAAATCTCGCGTATAAGAGGCACGGGGTACCTCGCGCAGCGCGCGCGCACTTCGTTTGTGCATATACTTGGCGCGAGGCACTACCGTGCCTCTTGATTTATTATGGTATACCGCGCGCCGATGCGTGATCAACAAGTTATGAATATCGAGCGAGCCCGAAGAAGTGAGCATGCACGTGCCGTCCGAAAGAACACAATAATCAACATTGCCTTTACCGTGAAACCGAAAGTAACGCGATCGACCAATCACGTAAAGGCACCCATGTTTTATTTACTCAAAACGATAAAATTTTCTCTTTAAAAAAGAATACAAAAAAATTTAAATTACAGCTAAAAGAGTGTGTTTGTAATACATTTTGCAAAGATTCCGAATGTAGTTTATTTTATCGCATTTTCTTACCAACAAATCTTTTAAATCTACACAGGAGTAACAATATCGCACTTAAAAGTTCAAACTATGTTTCCGATTTTTTTCACAGATCTGAAACATAGATTTACTACATAATAGAAATATCTTATATACACTGTATATAAAAGTATAGTACATAAAACATTATTGTACATAAAACAATGAAAAGTCATACAGGGTGATTCAGAACAACCCGTTATCCTTGATGAAATTTTGCCAAATAAAAAGTTGTCTTAAAATTTAGTCAAGAATATGTATTTTCAAGGATAACAGGTTGTTCTGAATTACCCTGTATGTCAAATACAATATGTCTATCATCATTTATACAGGGTGTCCTAGAATTGGTGTAACATTTCTCGTAAACAAATAGAAGGAGTAAACCTGAGTCAAAAAGTTTTATACCATTTTGCTAGATTTGCAATAGTTACCGAGATCTTACTTAACAAATGTCAGCGAATAAGCATGTATCAGGTCGTCTTACGCGCTGAAGACAGCCCAATGCGCTTCGCGCGTTTACAGTGTTACTCGTAGCAGCATATAGAAGAAGCCAATATAATAGTATATACTCTATAACATATACACATTAAAATGTAATTGTGCGAAGCTCGCCGGGCTGTCCTACGCGCGTAAGACAGCCCGATGCACGCTTATTCGCGAATCTTTGTTAATTAAAAGTTCGGTAACTATTGCGAATCTAGCAAAATGGTATAAGACTTATCGACTTAGTTTTACTTCTTCTACGAGAGATGTTACACCAATTCTGGGACACCCTGTATATGTAGAATTCAGTCGTAAAGTCGTCTGCCTCTCCTCCATAAACTTATATAATAGACGGAACATTTACATGACGAAGTTGAAGACATTAAAGGACAGAGATAGTGCTGAAGTAGTTGTCTCCCTTTCTTACACTATAAGAGCGGTAAGGGACCAATCACCTTAAGCGCATAGGACATATAAGTCTATGCTTCGACGTAAAAGGCCATTACATTTGACTTGTGTGCTCGAGTGGTTATAAAGGTTTGAGTCTTGTATGGATATAATATTTTTATTATTTTATTTATGTTTTTAAAGAAAAACAACAACAGAGTTGGTTACACTAAAGCATAAACAACTGTTGTTAAGAAAAAATACCTTAATTTATAGAAAATTTAAATTACAAAATATGTTAAATTACATTCTATAGAAGTATAAAGTAAATTAAATTATAAAAAAATCTATGAATTGTTACTGTTAATTGTTAGCGCCTGCCAAATCTCTCAACAAGTCTACACATGCTACATGCATGCTATCACCACTCACTATCACTCCCTCTCTCAACTCACTCTCAGTCAGACGTCTATCTTCGTTGCTCTCGGCCCCTCCCTCGGCCGCCTGCCGCGGTCACCAATCAATTCACTGCTAGAAAAGAAGAGAACTTATCCACGACTATTTCTGTCTCTTTTAACGAAGCTTCAGCTCCTCTTACACAAATGAACCGTCTATTATATAAGTCTATGCTCTATCTCCACACATACATTTACATCAAATTCCACATGCCGTTCGCAACTCTCATGAAATCATTTTATCCTTATTTCTCATCGAAAAGTAAACAAAGATAGATAACGCTCACGAGCGTTGCGAACGGCACGTGGAACTTACCCATCATGGTGTGTATTCATTATTCCACAGAACGGACTGCTCTTTAGTTATCCAAAATTTCTCGAAGAGCGGAGAACGCACAGATACGATCACGAGATACGCTTTCGATCTTGTTTGATTACCAGTTTGCACTTTTTTGCAAGATTTTTACTTCATTGCATTGAATATCACTATACAGAAGATGGTAAGTTATTAAGCTATTTTTTGTAGAGTAAAAATTGCTTCTTATATTTTAAAGAATACTATAAATTTTGTATTTAACCAAATACAAAACAGAACATAAAAAATGAATTAACATAGATCTATTATCTCAACAAAGCATATTATACTGTTAATGATTAAGTGGTTGAAAAAGCTTAAAGGTAAATGTAATAAATAAAATACGGGAAATAAACAGAAAGAAAAAAAGAAAGAACTTCAAAGATGCAGTCTACAGGTGGTAGTAAATAAAAGAAAACTTTGTGTTAAAAAATTAACGATATGAACTTTTCGATCAATTTTATTTTTGCAATCATTATCAGCTAATTCTACAATGTGCAAAGTAAGAAATATATAAGTTTACTTTGCCTAAATCTCTAAACGTTTAAAATAAACATGAAAAAAGTACGCATATAAATATATTAAACCTATTAAACCATAAACAAAGTGAAGCAAAATCTACTTTACAAAGTAAAGATCGAAAAAATCACGAAAAATATGATAACATTTATAGAAATGTGTAACGTACATTACATTTTTAAAAGACACTGATTACATGTCAACAGTCATGTCAAGAAAAGTCACACAAAAAACACAAACATGAGTGTGCGAAAACAAACAAATGAAATCTTTCTTTCACCAAGCATCACCAGTGGACTATTGAATTCGAAATCTTTAATTTATCTATATAGTTAATGTAAAGTAAAACTAAATATATACTTAAACAATTTTAAATATCTTTAGCATATAGTAAGTTGTATATAGTAATTACTTATTAGCATATAATACTTGATATATATTGTTACGATGCAGTAATAATTTTTCTTCAGTGTTGTAATATTCAACTTATCTCATTTACAATGGAGTATAATAAAAGTAAACAGTTTTCTCGAAATTAATTTTATTAGGTGAATATCGAATTTGTCGTAAACACAATCTGTACTCCTGTGTTTTTAATTATGTATGTTCGATAAAACATACCACAGTAACAAATAATGTCGTGTGTGTGATAGAAATAAAGACGATGTAGACTATTTTTAGAGAAACACATACTTTTATGCTTAATATTTTATAAACTTCAAAAATTGTCAGTAAAAACTATTCGCAAAAAGAAAGATACATACTTGCATACAATCATATTTGACATTTTTGTATTTAAAAAAGCAATTAGTAATTCTTTTTTATATAATATTTTTTGTGTTATACTTGTGATTTTAATACCATGTGTATTTCTTGTTTAAAATAACTTTATACGATAATTGTACAAAATTATTTTATAGATACAAACTACACAGATGCTTACAGTTCTCGGAACTATATGCCTCTTATGTGTCAATGGTAGTACTTCGTTTGCTGATGAGAAGTTTTCTCCGCACTGCATAGAACCGATGAAATATATTATAAATATTTCTGCGGAAGTACAAAACAATTCTCTGATTGTTGATTCTCTTGTTAAACTGAACGTTCAGTGTCCACTGCAAAACATAAACGTTTATTTTGGACGTTACTGTGAAGAACCGAAAATTAACATCATGACTAATGTTTCTTCTAATTATCCATCTTTATTTTGGGAAACAAAAGTTTTGCCATTTTTTCCGGACGATCGATTTAAAACCTTGAACATCAGCTTCATTAACCATAATAAGGAACTCTTTAGAATACAACAACGAATAGTAAATGTACAACGTGGACTGTGGATATCTGCAAAATATAATTGCAGTTTAGATAAAGTTATGAGAATTTATCCATTTATTGATGAAACTGAAATAGAAAAGTAAGTGCATTAAATACTAATGCAGAAATTATTTCTTCTTTTGTACTGTTGCAATAGAAGTTATAAAGTTTTTAAGGGACAAATTACTAAGAACAACAACGTTTTACATTCTATAGATATTTGATATTACCGCGTATTCCCGCTGAATGGATATTCTTATGTTGGAAAAATCTCGCAACTAAGGCTGCATTTACTATTCGAATCAAGCATACCAGTAGTGAAACAGCTTTTTCAAATATACGTAATAACTCAGTGGAAAATTCTCAAGTTTATACTTTATTCCGTACACCTTTAATATCCACTTTTGCTGTAGCAACAGTAGTCGTACCTTCTGAATGTACCAACTTTACTCTCAAATCAGATACACTTATCATACAGAGCAGATTACAAGTGGAAAACGACATTTTATACGCACGACTTCTTATACGTCATATTACGATCTTTCTTAGACTCAAGAAAAGGGACGTTACACCAATCTCACATGTGCAGTATATAGCTCTTCCAACAAACTACAGCTACGAAACTATAATAACTACTGGACTTGTTCTTTTCAGGTAAGATATATTACTCAAACAATTAGCTTACAACAAATATATCCACATGCTGTGAACGACAGAAGTGCATTAAAGACACTACTATTTTTAGAGACGCCGATATTGCATACAATAAAGAAAGTGATTCGTTTAGAAAAAAAATAGAAGTAACATGTTTGGTTGCACGCAGTGTGATACAAGAAGCGTTCAGTAATTGGTTAATTACAATTAAACAGTCTGATTCTTGGTTCATTGAAGGATTTTTGACATTTTACGGAGTTTATGTAGTCGATCAGGTAATACTTGCGTTTGTAAGTCTGAAACTTTTACACACCGAGAAAAAATGAAAAAATCATGTTATCATGTAGGATTATATGTAAATCGGATGTAATTTTGTATGATTGTATAATTTTTTATCTAAGAATAAGTCAAATATGATTTTATGTGATTGCGTAAAATCAGATCCAAAATTTGGCGCGATCTAATTTTATATGATCACAAATAAATACATAAAAGTAGGTACGATCACAAGAAAAAGTATATGATTTCTTATATTTTTATATGATCATATAAACTCAGATTGTGCCAAACTTCGGATCTTATTTTACACGACCACATAAAATCATATCCAACTTATGTGAAATCATAATTGACTTAAGTATATAAAAGTTTACACGATCATACAAAATTGCATTCGATCTACATATAATCCTATATGATCACAAAATTTTTCTTTTTTTCTCGGTACACTAAAATATGTTTTGTACTAAAATGTATTTTAATATGAGATATATATATAACATACATATTTAATGCAAACCGAGAGAGAAGAATAATAGTATTTATTTTGTAGTGATTTTTCAAATATTTTGGTGAAAGATGTGATTGTCATATTGCTTTTTTAATTTTTTTACAAGTGTTTTTCGTAATATTTAAAATTTAATCGGGGGGTATACGGGGTCTCTCATATATGAGATGCAAAAGTAGCATCCTATATGATTTTTAGGATTGAAATTTCAATCCAAAACTCACGTGTAAGATTTACACGTGTACGCGTATATACAATATTTGTACATATATATACGCGAATATTTCCGTGAAAACATCCAGCGAATGGCTCTTATTGGCCGTATTCACATATATTCATCAACTAAGTTTAATAGAATTAAAGAGGCCGAGATGATTCTCAGTTTAATAATAATTGCTTTCATACAGTTTATACACAAAACTTCTTGATTACTGTTAGTAATAATAATTTGCTTACAGTAGAAGGATTTTTATACTTGATACCAAACATTTAGTAATACAAATTGTATTACTAAGTTCACCTAAAAAGAATTAACAAAGCTAAACTAGATATATGTATAATCATATAAGTTTTTGGTAGATTTACAATGAGACTTTACTAATGTCACTTGTGGTTCAGACACGACGAATAATTTTTGAATATACACAAGCATTTACTGAATTTTATTATTTAATACAAGATAATCCATTTCTCAAAACCGAAACTTTTGATAAAATGTGGAAACAAAGAGGTAAGAAAAATTGTTATTTAAAACTCAAATACAATTATCCAGGTATCATTGTATGCATTTATAAACATTAACAAGAATTAATCTTGTGATTATAATTTGATAATTTTCACACATCGTATTTACGTTATAGGATTTATTATTTTCTATATGATGAATAATTTATTCAGTTTTAAAAATGTTCTAAACGACCTTATTTTTGAGAAAGCGATAAATTTGTATAACACGTGAGTATTAGAATTATATTATAAATTGATCATTAAGATAAAAAATTGTGCGTTTAAGCATGATTTTTTACGTAACGTGAAAACTTTTTCAAATATTCAATACGTTTAAGACAACTAAAATCAATGTGAAATTTTTGGTTTGGTATCTGTTGTTACCAATAGTAGTACATCAAGTCAGACATATAAGGAACATTTTACTCTTGATAATATATGGAACAATATAATGTTTGTGCCAACCATATATAACACTATCTATTTGAAGAATATAAATATAACAAATGTGATAACTTCATGGATAACACAATATGGTTATCCTATAGTACAAGTAAAACGGAAGGATACACAACTTCTAGAAATTATGATTCAAGATTGTGTTACGCTTACACAAAAGAACATGTGTGCATACAAGTGGTGGATACCTATAATCTACGTAAAAATATCAAGAAAAACGTTTAGTACTAATTATGCGTACGTAAAACCAGACGGAAAAAGTATTTTTCTTGCGAATATTGAAGAAGATGATTTTATCATAATCACGGAGCCAAATGGTAATACAATATAAAGAAAGTATGACTGTAATGTTGTATTTAGTCTCTAAAGTATATTTGAAATTTTTAACATCGTAACATTTATGCTTTTTTTGCTTTATTTTTCTTTTTTTTCTTTTTCTTAATTTTTTTTATTTGTAATTTTTTTATTCCAACATTTATTTTTAGGATATCGTGTCAACTATGATCGTAAATCTTTGGAAAATATTGCTCTCTTTCTAAAAAGTGAAAAATCTGACATTTGGAATGCATCTAATTTAACTGACGTCACTTTAGCACAACTTCTTGACGATGCGTTTTATTTTTTAATACAAAATACAAAGTATACTTTACCTCCTGCTGCAAATAGTGAAAAGTTAGACATATTTTTCAATCTTGCAAGCAATGTAGTTCGCGGAAAGAATTCATACATAGTGTGGCATTCCATATTTACAACTCTTCAATACATATCAAAGATTTTTCCCATACCGGAAAGCGCAAAGATCAAGGTACGTATTTTTCCAGTGCATTAAAAAAGAACAAAAGTAAAAAATCCCCTACTCAGCAACTAAATAAAAGAAACTTTCATTCAACTAGTTTTATAATATACAGTTTATAAGTTACGTTTCCTTCTGCAGTTGTCTTTGATCACGTGACAGAAAAAACAGTATAAAGTAATTTACAAAAGTAACTAGTAAAGTAACTTTATAAAACAATAATTAATATGCAATGATTCTTAAATACACATCTTTTGAGTACACTTACGAGTTACGGAATTATCAAAATACATTAATACACCTTACACTTTTTGTTATAGAGTAAAGTTCTGGAAATATTGAATAGTTTTCTGGAAGATATATCACATAAAAATGTTTCCGAGAATACTGTCAGTAATCAAGTATATTACGAAGTTTTAAAATGGACATGCATTCTTGGTGGCTTACGGTGCAAAGAACATATTAATGCTATAGTACACAGTGGCATTTAGAAAATCCTGTACAATACAGGTACGATTTTCTATTTCTCGTGTGTATAACGTTACTTTGCTGTTAATATATTATACATAATATTACCGAACTGTTACTTGAGACTTGATACAGTATTATGATAGTGTACCAACACTAGATACTCGCGAGTAAATTATTTTCTAATCATTGTTACATTTGTTTATATAAAATATATAGATGTATACATTAAACTTACATATATTTTTATATAAAGATGTTTGAATAAGACGTCGAAAGGACGTCTTGCTTCTACGAATATAATGTACGATATTGCAACTGTGATATGAGTGTTGATACGTCGTTACGATATCATAAGAAAAGTAACACAACTTGAATGACAATTGTGTGAGTAGAATTATACATTTTTGTAAGTATTTGCAGACTTTTGCCAAGTTGGCAGAACTGGATGTATTGCCAAGGATTGATGGTAAAACTTATAACTGATAAGATGTTGTGGCATAAAATACAGGACATTTATTTGTCACAAGAGAAACACCAACACTTCTTTCATCTTTTCTCTTGTTCTGGACTCAATCATAGTTTGGAATCTTTGCGTTTTGCACTAAAACATAATTTAATAAAAGAAAGTGATTCCGTTACCATATTTTTCGATATTGTTGCAAGACATGTAGAAGATTGTTGTTTACCTAATATTATAATAAGCAAAACACAAGATAAATTTTCAAGGTAAACAGAGTTATCTATATAAAATTGTATATTTTTGTTTTATATATACATATTCTCCGATAAGAAAACATTTATTATGTGACAAAATCTTTTGCATGAAACTTTTGATTTGCAGTTATATAGATATATCGTGAGAAAGAAATGTAAAGATATTGATTTTGTATAAAATATTTGTAACTGTATGCAAAATTAATTTCTAAATACGTTTCGGGCAAAACAATAACGATATGGCGAATCATCTTAACAGTATATTTGCAAAATTAATTTCAAAAAGAAATTGTCCAATCGTTGAGAAAAAAATTTCAGTTATGTCATGTTTAAGTCATGTAGAGAAATATAATTGCATATGAAGAAATCAAATTAATTCTTGTATATACTTATGAAAATGCATAACGACTTTTTTCTGATTTTTGACAAAATTAGTTACAAAATTGTATTTTGACAAAACTGTTGCGTTATTGCAAATTATCTTGCAATCATTGTCCTTATTCATGATGCCATTTTTGTGCAATATTTTTACAATTTCCCAATTAGAGTTGTATATTTACATATAATCTATTGTACATAATCAGCATTCCAATATTACATGTATTTAATTGATACATTATTTTTCATGTCATCTTGTAAGAATATTGTCATTTTACTAACATATTTTTGTACTAATTATTTAGTATGTATGCATCATTTGAAAGAAACATAAGCATACTTGCAGTTATGAGTTTTCGTATTAATCACATATATTCAGATGAAGGTCTTGAAAAGGTAACGTTGTGTGAACATAATCGTTTACTTTTGCTATAAATATAAAATATTTCTCTTTTTTATGAATATGTAGTAATATGCATGGAGATATTAGTATAATTATATTAGTAATCCATATAGCGTAATATACTTAAAGAATATCACGCGTAATAATGAGTTTTCCACATTACATTCAATATTAATATCATACGATGTTTTTAGATTACCGACAACATATTGCTCCTTGTACATCTGCTAAACCACGATTACACTAAAGACATGGTATATTTTGATTTTGTAAAATATGCGAAATAGTATTTTGATTTGTTTATTCATGATTTTAATAGTATTTAGTTTTGTATTTACGCTTGTCGTTTTTTTGTTTAAATTTAAAATATGTTTATACAAAACTGTTACTTTGGTTTTGTTTGTTACTTTATATAATTTATGTTCTAAACATTTATGCAAAAATATACAAAATGTAGCATGATAAATAAATTTTGTAATTGTTTTTAGGCAATATTCTTGCTGGACGTCATTATAAAAAAAGCTCAATCTCGTCGGAAATTCTTAAGTACAATGTAGCATCATAACAGTTTTCGAAAAGTTTACGATATACTAAAGTACAAAAGCAAGGAAAACTAAGATTACTTTGTACAATACAGTGCAATTTTATTTAAACAAACAGAGTATTTTAGTGCGTTTAAAACTAGAGTTACTTTTATATAAAAAGTGTAATTTTATTTTATGACACAAAAATTCTTATTAATTATAATTAAAATCGCAAATAATGTACTGATTTTAATATATTTAATAATGCGAGCAATATGTTCATAAAATAAAATCAAGTTTTCAATACAATAGTTTCTATTACATAACGATATTACGATATATTAAAGTATAGCAACCTGCACGTACTTGAATAGAGCATTCGGTAAATACAAAAAAACACAATAAAAAAATATATGTAATTTAAAACTGTATGTAGAAATAAAACTATATCGAGTTGTATTATAAGATAAACAATATTATTATTACAGAATTATTATCTATAATAAAACGAGCATTTACAAAATAAAATTCTTTTGTTACTTTTTATCAAGTTCATATTTCTTTTATTAGGCGCAATATCTCTAAAAGCAATAACATTAAAACATATATACATACATTGTATACATATATATACATATATATACAGGGTGTCTGACAAAATCTCTCGTAGGCAGGTAGAAGGAGGAAACCTGAGTCGAAAAGTCCTGAATTAATTTTGTCCATTATATATAAAAGAATAATTAGTGAATAAATCAAGCCAATCAACGCGTGATTCACTGACGTGCGTTGGCATATATGTATATATATGTGTATGCAAAATATGATTATTTTCTTCTATGTAAGTAAAAAATTAGTATTCAAAAAAACAAATACTATATATAGGTAAAATGTTTTTTGCTAGTTGTCTGGTGCTCATAATTTAGTGCTCAGAAATAAAAATATTATCTTAATTTTGCTATTGTTACTATACATGATTCAAAACAACCCGTTATTCTTGAAAATGCATATTTTTGAATAAATACTAAGACAACTTTTTATTTGACAAAATGTTGTCGAAAGCTTACTTTTTGATTGTTTTTATTAACAAAAATAGGTGACTTACCACGAGTCGGATACAAGAGATAGGCGGCGCAATTTACCGTGAAATGAATTAACAGTGATTCGTGTGATGCACGAATCAAGTGATACAAATTACGAATGAGTAAATAAATAAGTGAGAGAAAAAGTGAGGAAGAGAGAAACACAGAGAAACATACAGAAACAGTGTGTAGCGATCAGCTGATCGCGTCAGGCACCACACGTAATCGTCCGCATCTGATGGTGAGTTGCGCTGGCCCTGTCTATTTCTTGTATCCAACTTGTGGTAAGTTAACTATTTTTATTAATAACTCGAAAAGTAAAAGTCAGACAACCTTTTGCCAAATAAAACGTTGTCTTAGAATTTAGTCAAGAATATGTATTTTCAAGGATAACGGACGTAAATATTTACAAAAGATCACCATCCTCCGATTTGAATGAGCGTGACATATGTTGTCAAGAACATGTCCTTGAACAATGAGCGAGGACTAACACTTTTCGATTGTTACTCAGGGACATGTCCTTAACAACATATGGCAAAGCCAAAGTCATCAAGGCCGTTTTTGTAAAGATTTACCAAAATATATCTAAAATAATACTTTTTATTTTTAAACAATTGTCCCTCGCATAAAATATTAAATAATGATATAAAAAGAGATGACACTTGACTATACTCCTTAAATTCTGATGCTGCTTGCTAAAATGTTTTTTTTATCAATCACATGTATGATGTGTGCCCTAATAGGCAAATTGTAAAAATATTGCACAAAAATGGCATCATGAATAAGGACAATGATTGCAAGATAATTCGCAATAACGCAACAGTTTTGTCAAAATAAAATTTGGTAAATAATATTTGTCAAAAATTGCGAAAAAGTCATTATGCATTTCCATAAGTATGTACATGAATTAAGTTGATTTCTTCATATGCAATTATATTTCTCTCCACATATTGTAAAGATCACATAGGTAAAATTTTTGCTCATTTATTGGACAATTTTTTTTTTTAAATTATTTTGCAAATATACTGCTAAGATGATTCGCCATATAGTTATTCTTTTGCCAAAATAGTATTTGAAGAGTAATTTTGCAAACAACTACAAGTATTTTATAAAAGATCAATGTATTTACGTCTATTTTCTAAACTATATCTGTATAATTGCACATTACAATTTTAGTGCAAGATTTTGTCACATAATTTTGTAAATGTTTTCTTATCAGAGGAAAGTTGCAAATTTTTATTCTCCATCCTGTTCTATTCTCCTTCTTGAGATCGGTCATTTTAATTTGTAAAGTAAAAACTTCATCTGATGCTGCTTGTTGTTTCAATCGTGTTTTTCAGTTTTCAATACATATAGTTTTTACATCATTATTTGTTTTACGTTTCTGTTTCTTAAACACGCACAATCGTTTTTCCATTCGCGCGCTCTCAAGTTCGATCTCCCTACTCTTATTTCGTGATTGCTCGCTAATTCGAGTGTATCGAAACGCGTGATATACTTTAAATATCAAATCGACGCGCGCGCGGCAGAGCCATAAATTTATATCAAAGAGAAGCCTGAGAGCCGCCACGACCATAAGAGTTTCTGCGACAGCTTTTTGCTAGGCTCGGTTTATTGTTTTCGGGCGACGACACGATTTCTATTTGCGCGCCTATCGCGTCGAAGTCCGAGTCCGTTCGTATCATTTATTGTTTCTTAAAAAAAGGAAGTCACGTTGCAAGAAAAAGAAGCCCGTGGAGTCCCCAGGACGTAACATATATAATAGACGGAACATTTATATAACGAAGTTGAAGACAACATTAAAGGACAAAAACATTGCTGGAGTAGTTGTCTTTCTCTTTTACAATAAGAGTGGGGGGAAACCAATCACCTTTCATAGACATATAAGTCTATGCTTAAACGTAAAGGGCCTTTTACAATAAGATATTAGTACTAAATCAGAAGTCAAAAGCAAGAAATTGACCAATCACAGTCACATCATAGAAGAATAATCGATTTTGATTAGTCAATTTCTTGCTTTTCACTTCTGATTTATTACTAATATCTTATTGCAGAAGGCCCTTAAAAAACCATTACTTTTGACTTGTGTGCTCGAGGGGTTATAAAGGGTTCGAGTTTTGTATGGATATACTTTTCTTATTAGTTTATTTATGTTCTTAAAAAGAAACAACAACAATTGGTTACACTAAAGCATAAACAATTGATGTTACTTAAAAATAACTTACTTTAGAGAACATTTAAGTTAAAACATATATTAAATTAAACTCTATAGAAGTATGAAGTAAATTAAATTATAAAAAAATTTACGAATTGTTAGTGTTAATTGTTAGCGCCTGCCAAGTCTCTCACCAAGTCTTTACATGCTACATGCATGCTATCACACACTTCTCACTATTACTCTCTCTCAACTGATTCTCGGACGGCTATCTTCAATGCTCTCGATCACTCACTCGGCCTGCCGCGGCCACCAATCAACTCACTGCTAAAAAAGAAGAGAACTACTCTACGACTATTTCTGTCTTTTTTACCGAAGCTTCAGCTCTTCTTACACAAATGTACCGTTTATCATAGAAGTCTATGGCATGCACGTGCCGGCCGAAAAAACACAATAATCAACATTGCCTTTACCGTGAAACCGAAAATCACGCGATCGACCACTCACGAAAAGTCACCCATGTTTTATTTAACCAAAAAGATAAAATTTTCTCTTTAAATGAAAATAGACCAAAAAGTTAGATTATAGCTAAAAGAATATGTTTGTAATACAATTTGACAAAGATTCCGAATGTAGTTTATTCCGTCGCATTGTCTTACCAATAAATCTTTTAAATCTACACAGGAGTAACAATATCGCACTTAAAAGTTCAAACAATTTTTCCGATTTTTTTCACAGATCTGTGTGAAACATAGATTTACTATATAAAAGAAATATCTTATATACACTACACAGTATATAAAAGTATAGTTGTGCATAAAACAGTGAAAAGATATATGTCAAATACAATATGTTTATTATCATCCATATATGTAGGATACACAGTCGTAAAGTCATCTGCCTCTATCTTCACACATACGTTTACATCGAGTAAATTCCACTTGCCGTTCGCAACTCTCATGAAATCATTTTATCCTTATTTCTCATCAAAAAGTAAACAAAGATACATAATGCTCACGAGCGTTGCGAACGACACGTAGAACTTAAGGCATTGCACGTGGCAAAAGTTTAAACATAGTCGGAAAATCGTAAGTAAATCGACCAATTGCTGGTCAGGATTTCATCTAATGTAAGATAATAACAGTCCGTACTTGCTTGAACTGCTTACGACCTTACGGTTATGGTTAAAATTTTTTCACGTGCAGTGACCTTTACCTATCGTGGTGTGTATTCATTATTTCACAAAAAGGACTGCTCTTTAGTTATCCAGAATTTCTCGAAGAGGCGAGAACGCACAGAGACGCTCACGAGATACGCTTTCAATCTTGTTTGATTATCAGTTTGCACTTTCTTTTGCAAGATTTCTATTTCAATGCATTGAATACCACTATATAGAAGATGGTAAGTCATTATGCTATTTCTTGTAGGATTAAAATTGCTACTTATATTTTAAGGAAAAATATAAATTTTGTATTTAACCAAACACAAACCAGGACATAAAAAATGAAATAACATAGACCTATCATCTCAACAAAGCATATTATACTGTTAATGATTAAGTGGTTAAAAAAGCTTAAAGGTAAATGTAATAGATAAAATACGAGAAAGAAAAAGAAAAAGAGAGAAAGAGAAAGAACTTCGAAGCCTGCAGTTTACAGATGGTAGTGGATACAAGAAAGATTTGTGCTTATAAATTAACGATATGAACTTTTCGATCAATTTTATTTTTGCTATCATCATCAGACAATTCTATAATGTGCAAAGTAGGAAATATATAAGTTAACAGTGTCTAAATCTACAAACGTTTAAAAAAAACATGAGAAAAATACGCATACAAATATATTAAAAATTTTAAAACATAAACAAAATGAAGCAAAGCCACCTTTACAAAGTAAAGATAAAAGTAATCACAAAAAATATGATAACAGTTATAGAAATATGTAACGTACATTACAATCTCAAAAGACAGTGAGTACATGTCAACAGCCATGTCAAGGAAAGTCACACAAACAATACAAACATGAGTATGCGACAACAAACGAATGAAATCTTCATTTCACCAAACATCACCGGTGGACTACAAATTTCGAAATCTTTAGTTTATCTATATAGTTCATGTAATTTAAAACAAAGATTACATTTAAAAAATTTTAATTTAAATCACTTTAGCATATAGAAATCTTTAGCATATAGGAGAAATTTTAATTCAGTTCATTCTTTAGCATATATACAGGAATTGGTATAAAGTAATTGGTTATTAGCATATAATATTTGTTATATATCGATATATACGATGTAGTAATAATTTTTTTTCAGTGTCGTAATATTTACCTTATCTCATTTAAAATGCATTACAAAAAAATCAAGCAATTTTCTCGAAATTGATTTTATTAGGAGAATATCGAATTTGTCGAAAATACAATCTATACTCTTGTTTTTAATTACTTATGGCGGATAAAACATACAACAATAACAAATAATTTCGTGTATGTAATAGAACTAAAGACGGTGTAGAATATCTTTTGATAAACACACTCCTTTATGCTTAAGTAATATTTTATGAACTCTAAAAATTGGTATTAAAAAACATACGCAAAAAGAAAAATACACAATTATATACAATCATATTTGACATTTATGTATTTAAAACAGCAATCAGTAATTTTCTGTTATATAATACTTTTTGTGTTATAATTGTGATTTTAATAACATGTGTATTTCTTGTTTAAAATAACTTTATAAGATAATTGTACAAAATTATTTTATAGATACTAACTACACAGATGCTTACAGTTCTCGGAACTATATGCCTCTTATGTATCAACGGAATTACTTCTTCTGCTGATGAGAATTTTTCTCCGCACTGCATAAAACCGAGGGAATATATTCTGAATATTTCTGCGGAAGTACAAAAAAATTCTCTGATTGTTGATTCTCTTGTTAAATTGAACGTTCAGTGTCCACTGCAAAACATAAAAGTTTATTTCGGACGTTACTGTGAAGAACCGAAAATTAACATCATGACTGATATTTCTTCTAATTATCCATCTTTTTGGAAAACAACAGTTTTGCCATTTTTGTCGGACAATCGATACAAAAGCTTGAACATCAGCTTCATTAAACATAATATCGAACACTTTAAAATACAACAACAAATAGTAAATGTAGAACGTGGAATGTGGATATCTGCAAAATATACTTGCAGTTTAGATAAAGTTATGAGAATTTATCCATTTATAGATGAACCTAAAAAACAAAGAAAACAGTAAGTGCATTAATACAGAAATTATTTCTTTTTTTGTACTGTTGCAATAAGAGTTATAAAGTTTTTAAGGAACAAATTACTAAGATCACCGTTTTACATTATATAGACATTTGATATTACCGCGTATTTCCGCTGAATGGATATTTCCATGTTGGGAAAATCTCGCAACTAAGGCCACATTTACTATTCGAATCAAGCATACCAGTAGTGAAACAGCTCTTTCAAATATACGTGATAAACAAGTGGAAAAATCTCAAGTTTATACATATACTTTATTCCGTACACCTTTAATATCCACTCGTGCCGTAGCAACAGTAGTCGTACCTTCTGAATGTACCAACTTTACCTTCATGTCAGATACACTTACCATACACAGCAGATTTCAAGTGGAAAACGACATTTCATACGCACGACGTCTTATGCGTCATATTACGAGTTTTAGTAAACTCAAGAAAAGAGATGTTACACCAATCTCACACGTGCAGTATATAGCACTTTCAACAAACTACAGCTACGAAACTATAGTAACTACTGGACTTGTCCTTTTCAGGTAAGATATATTACTCAAAAAATTAGCTTACAACAAATATATCCACATGGTGTGAACGACAGAAGTGCATTAAAAACACTACTATTTTTAGAGACGCCGATATTGCATACAATAAAGAAAGTGATTCGTTTAGAAAAAAAATAGAAGTAACATGTTTGGTTGCACGCAGTGTGATACAAGAAGCATTCAGTAATTGGTTACTTACACTTAAACAGTCTGATTCTTGGTTTATCGAAGGATTTTTGACATTTTACGGAGTTTATCTAGTCGATCAGGTAATACTTGCATTTGTAAATTTGTAGCTTTTACACCTCAAGAAAAAAAGGAAAAATCATGTAATCACATGTAGGATTATATGTAAAGTGGATATAATTTTGTATGATCGTATACTCTTTTTTTTAAGTAAAATATGATTTTATGCGATCGCATAAAATCAGAACCAAAATTTGGCGCGATCTGATTTTATATGATCATATAAATACATAAAATTATGTATGATAGTATATGATTTCTTATATTTATATATGATCATATAAAATCAGATCGCGCCAAACTTTGGATCTCATTTTACACGATTACATAAAATCATATCCACCTTATGTAAAATCATATTTGACTTATATAAAAGTTCACACGATCATACAAGATTGTATCCGATTCACATATAATCTTATATGATCACATAATTTTCACATAGATATTTACTGCAAACCGAGAGAGAAGAATAATAGTATGTATTATGTAGTGATATAAGACATTTTGGTGAAAGATGTTATTGTCACATTGCTTTTTTAATGTTTATATTATACACAAATCTTCTTGACTAATGTTAGTAATAATAATTTGCTTATACTAGAAGGATTTCTATACTTGATACCAAAAATTTAGTAATACAACTTTGTATTACTAAGTTCACCTTAAAAGAAATAACGAAGGTAAACTATACATATGCGTAATCATATAAACTGTTGGTAGATTTACAGTGAGACTTTACTGATGTCGATTGTGGTTCAGACACGACGAATGGTTTTTGAATATACACAAGCATTTACTGAATATTATTATTTAATACAAGATAATCCATTTCTCAAAACCGAAACTTTTGATAAAATGTGGAAACAGAGAGGTAAGAAAAATTGTTATTTAAAACTCAAATACAATTATCCAGGTATCATTGTATGCATTTATAAACATTAACAAGAATTAATTTTGTGATTATAATTTGATAATTTTCACACATCGTATTTACGTTATAGGATTTATTATTTTCTATATGGTGAATAATTTATTCAGTATCAAAAATGTTCTAAACGACCTTATTTTTGAGAAAGCGATACATTTGTATAACACGTGAGTATTAGAGTTATATTATAAATTACTCATTGAGATAAAAAATTGTGCGTTCAAGCATGATTTTTTACGTAACGTGAAAATTTTTTCAATTATTCATTACGTTTAAGACAACTAAAATCGATGTGAAATTTTTGGTTTGGTATTTGTTGTTATCAATAGTAGTACATCAAGTCAGACATATAAGGAACAGTTTACTCTTGATAGTATATGGAACAATATAACGTTTGTGCCAACCATATATAACAACATGTATTTGAAGAATATAAATATAACAAATGCGATAACTTTATGGATAACACAATATGGTTATCCTGTAGTACAAGTAAAACGGGAAAATGATACACAATTTCTAGAAATTATGATTCAAGATTGTGTTACGGTTAAACAAAAGAACATGTGTGCATACAAGTGGTGGATACCTATAATCTACGTAAAAATATCAAGAAAAACGTTTAGTACTAATTATGTGTACCTAAAACCAGACGGAAAAAGCAAATTTCTTGCGAATATTGAAGAAGATGATTTTATCATAATTACGGAGCCAAATGGTAATACAATATAAAGTATGACTGTAATGTTGTATTTAGTCTCTAAAGTATATTTGAAATTTTTAACATCGTAACATTTATGCTTTTTTTGCTTTATTTTGCTTGTTTTTCTTTTTCGTAATTTTTTGTAGTTGTAATTTTTTTATTCAAACATTTATTTGTAGGATATCGCGTCAACTATGATCGTAAATCTTGGGAAAATATTGCTCTCTTCCTAAAAAGTGAAAAATCTGAGATTGGGGATGCATCTAATTTATCTGACGTCACTTTAGCACAAATTCTTGACGATGCGTTTTATTTTTTAATACAAAATACAAAGTATATTGTACCTCCTGCTGCAAATAGTAAAAATTTAGACATATTTTTCAATCTTGCAAGCAATGTAGTTCGCGTAAAGAATTCGTACATAGTGTGGCATTCCATATTTACAACTCTTCAATACATATCAAAGATTTTTCCATTACCAGAAAGCGCAAAGATTAAGGTACATATTTTTCCAGTGCACTAAGAAGGAACAAAAGTAAAAAATCTTAATCAGCAATTAAATAAAAGAAACTTTCACTGAACTAGTTTTATAATATACTGTTTATAAGTTACGTTTCCTTCTGCAGTTGTCTTTGATCACCTGACAAAAAAAACAGTATAAAGTAATTTACAAAAGTAACTAGTAAAGTAACTTTATAAAACAATAATTAATATATATTGCACTTTTTTTACAGGATAAAGTCCTAGAAATATTGAATAGTTTTCTGGAAGATTTATCACATAAAAATGTTTCCGAGAATACTGTCAGTAATCAAGTATATCACGAAGTTTTAAAATGGACATGCATTCTTGGTGGCTTAAAGTGCAAAGATCATGTTAATGCTATATTACTGTGGCATTTTGAACATCCTATACAACACAGGTATGTTTTTTTATGTTTTTAAAAGCGAAGTGACGTCGATATAACGTCACTTTGCTTTTAATGTATTGTATAATAATGTTACAGAACTGTTACCTGAATCTTGATGCAGTAATATGATATTGTACGGATACTAAAAAATAAGAGTAAGTTAGTTTTTAAATAGAATGTTAGTTATTTCTATAAAATATAAAAATTTGTACATTATAATTACAGACAGTTACATATACAGCTGTTTGAATATGACGTCAAAAGACGTTTTGCTTGTACGCTTATAAACGTAATTGCAACTGTGACATTAGTGATAATACATCATTACAATATCATACTAAAAGTAAAACGCTCGAGTAATTGAGTAAATAAAATTATATATTTTTGTAAATATTTGCAGATTGTTGCCAAGTTGGCAGAGATGGATATATTGCCAAGGACTGAAGTTAAAAATTGCAACTAAATTTATATTGTGGCATAAAATACATAATATTTACTTGTTACAAGAGAAATTAGAACAATTCTTTCAACTTCTTCCTTGTTTTAATCTCGGATTGAATTATAGTTTGGAATCTTTGTGTTTTGCAACATATAAGCATGTAACAAAAAGTGATTCTTTTACCATTCTTTTTGATATTCTTGCAAGACATATAGAAGATGTTTCTTCACTGAATATTATAATAAACGAAATAGAACATAAATATTCACCAAGGTAAACAGATTTTTTTATACACTTGTTTATCTTTATACTTTATACACATTATTACTATATATAATCTATATTTTATGTACATATATATTTTACATGGTCGATATATATTTATATTAAGTTTATTCAATTAATATACATTGTGTTTAGCATGTCGTATAAAAATTTATTGCACATACTATGAAAGTTTTTGTACTAATTATCTGGTATGTATGTTTTATTTGAAAGATATATGAGCCTACTTGCTGTTGTGAATTTTAGTATTAATCACATATATTTAGAAGAAGATTTTGAAAAGGTACATTGTGTAAACTTAATCGTGTAATAACTATAAATGTAACACATATTGTTTTTGTATGAATATGTATTAATATGCATGCATGTATTACAGTTTTATTAGTAATATACAGGGTGTTTGTAAAATTTTGACATAGCCGAAGTATGGAGATAAATTGAGTCAAACTGAATAGAAAAGTTATTTGCCCTTGTGCAAAATTTGCAATAGTTAATGAGATACAAAGTAATAAATGTGTGCCAATGAGCGCGTGAGAAGCGATGTTCCTGACTCTGGCGTAGATGTGTGACTGTCAGGGCGATGTCCCATTGAGCGGAAATCTATAGCGGAACGGAATGTGCGGAACCNGCTCGACCAATCGTAACCACAGAAAAAGCGAAGGAAAGAAAACGGAATGGCTATGATTGGTCGAGCTGGTTCCGCACATTCCGTTCCGCTATATATTTCCGCTCAATGGGACATCGCCCTCAGAGCAACGAGAGGCGGAGGCGGAGTGAACAAACGAGCGCGGCGTTTGACTCGGCTGTTTCGCGGTCAGCCGATATTCGGCGGTACGCAAAGGAGCGATCAGCGCTCGAGGGATAAAGATAAGATGCTACTGCTCTCCGCGATCAGGTGACAATCACACACGCCTACACAGTCTGAATTAACGCTTTCCACGCGCTCATTGGCGCACATTTATTATTTTATATCTCAGTAACTATTGCAAATTTTGCAAAATGGCAAATAACTTTTCTATTCAGTTTGACTCAATCTATCTTCATACTTCGGCTGTNTCAAAATTTTACGGACACTCTGTATATAGTCTTTGTTTAGCATAATAAACTAATATGCATAATAATAAGTGTTTTTTACAAGTAATATTACATTCATTATTATCACACGATGTTTTTAGATTCGTAAGACTGTAGTATCACTTTTTGGAAAACTGATCGACAAATATAATATAGAGAAGGTAAAAGTTTTTTCTATAAATATAGAAAGAGTATTTCTGTAAATATTTTTCTTGTAGTTTTGCATTGGTTTTTATTTGTTTAAATCAAAATTTTAGTTATAATTTTTAAACTGGTGTTGTTTTGGCATTACTTTCGTTGGTTTACAAAAATATATTCTCTAGCAATCTTAAACTTGTGCAAAGGTATATAATACAAGATGGTATAGTAACTATATTTTGTAATTTTTTTTAGGCAAAAGTTATAAATAACGTCATTATGAAAAAAGTTGAGAATCGTCGTATGTTTGTAAATGACATAAAAATGAACATTCGCGATGTACCTCATTATTTACTAAATTACTAAATAACCCTAATATATATGTTACGCTCTTTAAGAGTTTTTTCGTATAAGTGTAATTTTTTCTATTTAATTTAAATAGAAAATATTATTCATGTATTGCATTTAATATTGGAATTACTTTTGTATATGTAGCCTCTAACTTATTTTATGATTACAGTTTTAGTCTGTTATGATCATATTTTTGTTTTGATCATATTTGTTATTCTCAGTAACAAATATTAATTATGATTATTAATTATGTTTAAAATCGAAGGTATAGGTATATACGGATTTTAATACATTTAATAATTCGCTAAGTAATCATAAAATAAAGTCAAGTCTTTAATAAGATAAAATAATTCTAATGTACTGTATTGTGTGTATTTTACACGATTGCTACTATGTATACATTTAAGTAACCAATTGTGCATAAATGAATATATAAAATACGCTATATGAAAAACACAATATGTAATAGGTATTAAAATATAAAATGTAAGAAAAAGAAAACTCTATATTAAACAGTTTTATACAAGGTGATGATTAGTAAATCTTGAAAGAAATGAAAGAGAGTGAAATTTGGAATCAAGAATTTCTTTAAATAATGGTCTAAGCCAAAAGTGAAAAAAATTGTTTTGGTTTAAAATTTTACCTTTTGTTATTCCCTCCAAGGTTTACTAATCATTACGGATCACTTATAACGAATGTTACTCAATGGTAAAATTTTTTTATTTATTTAGAAAACGGTAAATGATAAGCCAGTTACAATTTATTATGTTCGTATTACAAAAAGATATGTATAAATCAAAAGTTTTATTTATAATAAAAATGTTTGTAAACTAAAATTGTTTGTAACTTTTCGACGATTCCTCAGCTTCTACTCAATATTTTAAAGTAAATCTACGTGGAATTATTTATATGCATATAGATGATAGAACAGTTTTTTTGCTTTCTGTTCTGTCGCTTAGAAATATAAGGCTTAAATGTATTAACTTTATTATTATTAGCTTTATTATGGTAGAATAATTTGTGTTGTTAGTTACAAAAAAATTACTCTAAATTCTATTCATGCCATTTGTTGCAGTTTTTATCTTTTTTGGTTTATCATACTACCGCATTATGTGGGTATATGCATATAGTATTTATATGTATGAAAATTGCTTTACGCATTGCTTTTCATACATTTATATGTATGAAAACTGATTTACGCAAAACTGGTAGTTTTTTTTTTATCGATAAGTGAAAGAACGTTGTCGCACGGCTTTGTTATCCTAGAGGTAGTTTAACATTTTTCGTAATCTGCCAGAATTTTTTTACAGTATTGTAAGCACTATTAAAGTAGTAAATTTCCAATTTCATTGCGTTTATATTCGAACAGTTTTTTGATTCTTCTAGAAATTAAAAAAGATGTTGCAAGATATTTTTGTGAAGATAACAATTCAAGTCAAAGTTTGCAATGTAAAAGTAAGTTTGTAATGTAACTTTTATTTAGGATTTATGGCAGTAAAGTAGTAAGTTTATGTATTAAGCACTATATTTCTCTCAATTTGTGAGTGATTTGAAAATAGTTACTCTACAAACTTATCTTCAGTTTACACTCTTACGAAAAAGAACTATTGCCGATTACTTATAAATATTACTGGCAATTACACAAGAATATTATTAGGTATTACAGAAAAAATTATTGGATATCACAGGAAGTATTACAGGGTATCACTGAGAATATTACTGGCAATTACACAGAATGCTTGTACTTATTTCGTACCACTGCCGCAATATACTACTGCCTAAATATTATTGCCAGTAATATATAAGCAGTAATATATTGCGGCAGTAATATATAGGCGCAGAATTACAAAAAACTTCTGAAATATTTCAGTAGTTGCAAAAGACGATTTTTGGCGATCGTTTGGTACATATA